AATTTTACCCCCTCAAATATAGAAATGGACCCACAAGTTTCTAAATTCTAGGTGGGCCCATGCGGTCCACAGTTATATGCATATTTAACACTAGCAACTTACCATTTTTAATGCTGATATTAATATATTTAATTATTTTGATTTGGGCATAGTATTGGCATGTTCCTAAGTTCATTAATTACAATTTTCGAAATGTTAATATAGATGTTGATGTTGATGCTCCACTAAAATGTCAATTATTTTGGCCTCAACACAATGTGTATAAAATTTTGTTATCAAACTATAAACTAGTTTCCCTGCATAATTTTGTTGTACAAATTTTCTTGTTACAACCAGTTAGCATTATTCAAGATTTTTGCATTTGAATATAGCTTAAATTTCTTAAAGACATCACATATTTTCTTGCTGAAATAGTAGTATTAATTCGTGGGAACTTCAAATCCAATGAACTCCTAAAGCAAATTTTGCTTAAATAAATTATATTAATATTCTCTCCATGTTTGATCTTTAAAGATTTTAGGGTTGTTTACTGAATGCAGTTTAATTAAAATTTTATACTGAAGTATAGTTTAGCCAATGTTTTTATTAATGTATCACAGTTAATGCAAAACACTGTCATTTTTAGTTCCAAGCCCAGATGTGAAAAGTGGAGGGTTGCGTTGCGTAGTCGACAGTCAGCGTAAAACTTTTTCGAAAAAAAATCATGATATGAATCCTTTTGATCATTGTGTAAGAGCTAGGGCGTCCCCTGGAAGCAACGCACTTTATAGCCTAAATGCAGTGAAAAGTGTGCAAGGGTCGCTACACAGGCGCCCGGGTGTAGTGTTAAATAAGCAAGAGTTCCCACATTACGGGCGAATGCGGGTAAAGAAGTTAGTCCATGAAACTAATGAAACTAATATTATGATATGATCTTGGAATATAGGTACTCAATTGTAAATTAATGAAATTAATGAAATTAATTGATATTATGATTCATAGAAAAATTAATATCTTATGTATTCAAAAACTAAATGGGTTGGAGAAAAGGCTAAGGAGATTGACAATTTAGTTTTAAACTTTGGTATTCTGGTAAGAGTCACAGTAGAAATGGTGTAGGTATAATTATAAATAAGAGTTTGAAAGATAATGTTATAAAAATTAATAGAGTTGGAGATAGAATTATAGCCCTTAAGATTATCATTAATACTATGATTTCTAATATTATAAGTGCTTATGCTCCTCAAGCAGATTTAGATACAGGGTCTAAAAATAAATTTTAGAATGACTTAGAAGACTTGATACAAATGATACCTCTTGAAGGAGGAGTTTTTATTGAAGGAGATTTAAATGGACATATCGGTAGAGTGATAAAAGACTTAAAAAATATTCATGGAGGCTACGGTTTTGGAGTAACTAATGAAGAAGGTAGAACTATTTTAAATTTTGCTTTAGCATATGATTTTGTTATTACTAATACTTTATTCAAGAAAAGAGATGATCATCTTATTAGTTATAAGAGTGGATCTAATAAAACACAAATTGATTATTTTCTTATGAGAAGAAGAGATCGTCGTGATTGTAAAGATTGTAAGGTCATTCCAAGTGAGAATTTAAGTACCCTACATCGTTTATTAGCTCTAGATTTTAAGATTAAGACTTATAAAATAAAGAATACTAGGACTCATCATCGTAGAATTAGATGAGAAACTTAAAAGACACAAATAAAATTATTTTTATGAGTAAAATTTAAGATTTCAAAATTTGAGATATTCATGAAAAAACAAATGTTATGTGGGATAAAATAATAAACACTATTAAACAAGTAACAAAAGATGCAATTGGAGAATCAAAAGAAAAAGTTTCTTTAAATAAAAATAGTTGGTGCTGGAATAATAATGTGCAAGAAAAATAATATAAGAAGTTATGTTATAAAAACTAGTTTAAATGTAAAAGCTTAGAGAACTGGGATAAATATCAAACGATCCGCAGAGAGTCTAAAAAAACAATTTGTGATGCTAACGCTAAAAATTCTATTTTTAATGATATTTATAATAGATTAGATACTAAGGAGAGTGAAAAATATATGTATAAACTTGCAAAACAAAGAGAAAAGAAAAGTAAAGATTTAACTCAAGTAAAGTGTATTAAAGATGAAAATCAAAAAG